ATAATGGAAGTGCACACATCCCCTCAGGTCCTCCTCCAGGCCCTGCTGTCACTGTAGATTCCCAACCTAAATGAGGCACACTCTGATGAAGCAGTGTTTTGTATGATTTTGTTACATTTCAAGAGTAGAGGTGTAGGGTTGGAATTAAGGTGAGGTACTGGGTCCAGATCTAGCTCTAGAGTAAATTCAGCAGCCTCATTCTCAGTCTGTAAATGGTGGGCTGGACAAGGTGTTTTTTGATATTCTGGCCTGACATAGACATAGACAGGACAACAAGGGACACAGACAACTGTGGGTCTCCTGCCTCAGGGAGTTTCCGTAGGCCTGTGAGGCATGGAGTGTCTGCCAGTAGGCATTTCTGCTTTCTATCCTCTGTTATATGCAGAATGTGCCTGGAGGGGGCACAAAGCCTCTGGGGATGGGGGCTCTCTGACTCTCAGGAAGCAATTATGGTGAACTCAGCAGAGTCTACTGTTACTCCCCTCAGTGACAACTTGGGTTCTGAAGGCATGGAAGAAGGACACCAGAGGGATAAGAAGACAGGGAGTTCCCAGCACCGGGCTTGGGGGGTGCACTCACCCACAGAGATGTCTCCCAGTTGCTCAAGCCTCAGCTTCCTGTCCTATAGACCCACAGTCAAGACAGCAAACAGAAGCTCATCAAGGTCATCTGCTTGGATTCTTCCTATACCAGAGGTGGCTGTGTATCTAAGCTGTGATCCCTTGATCTCCTGAACTATAGGACACCACTGTGGATAAGCTTAGGACCCTTCAGCATGGAGTATATGACCTGGATGGGATGTTGTGTATCTGGCTGTACCTCTCTAGACCTTGAAATTTCAGAATATTAGTGAACTTGCCAAGGACATATGATGAAGAAAGATCTGGAATGTCTTCTCTTTGGTACTCACGGCTGTACCTTAGTTCCCAGGATACCAGTTCCAGATACCTGGAACTGAATAATAGCTTTTGTCAATAGAAAATGAGCTCCAGCCTGGAGCTGGGGCCACTGTGGCCTGGATTGCCTAGTTTCTGAGGTAACCTCTTCTACTTCTACCTTTGGGTTAGCCACTGTGAATCTTGAGTGAGTCATAGCCCCTTAAAATTCAGCCCGTTGGAAGCAAGGATCCAGATGGACATCAGAAGTCAAAAGATGTCAGGGCAACCAGAGTGCTTGAGACCCTGCTCTTTGGACCCAACCTTTCACCTGCTTTTGGAATGGGAAAGGGTGTGTTATCCAGACCAGAGCCAAGACACACAGATCTGTGGGACTGGGGCAACGGTTTTCTGTGGCCTGATTTTTATTCCGAACAACCTGTTGCTTACTTTTGGAAGTGTGGACTCTCCTCCTCTATCAGGTAAATGACCCATGAAAACCTTGAATCGTTTCTACATGTAGGCTCAGAACCAATTGTCTTTGTCCTTTGAGCTTCATGGAGTCAAAATAATAGGGACATTAGCCACTGAGAGAACAGCAAAGGAAATAAAATCTCTAGGAACTGGCAGAGGCTCAGACTGCTGAGCCTGCATTTCAGGGCCTCCCACTCCCTGTCTCCAGAACAACCCTTTAGCCTCATCTCCTGACTTCTCACTCATGTGACTTTTCTCCTTTCAGTTAAACTATCTGCCTCCTCTGTCCTCCCTACTGTGTCCATTCTGTCCCCATGGAGTGCTGCTCCTACCTGCTTTCTCTGCCCTAGCTAAATCCTGCCCCAAATACAGTCTCACCACTTGCACATGGCTTCCCCAAGCTCTCAGGCTTACAGTGAGAGATCTTCCTCTCCAGTAGGTAGCCTGTGCTTCCCTGTGATGCGACTGTGACACCTGGCCCTGCTATTCATCTCCTGTAGGATACATTCTCTGTATGTTGGTGGGACCTCCTCTAGGGCACAGTACTGTAGCTCCTCAGCATGAAACCAGTGGAGCCCTATGCTCAGAAGGGATTTTGGGAAAACTTAGTGGAACTGGTGAAGGGTGGTAACCAGTGTTTTGGGATTAGGGCAGTGGGTCTGGGTTGCACAGGCCTAGGGAGCCATCCACCTGGGAGGCCCTCTGCGGAGTCTGGCCTGGGCACTAGCTCAGGGGTTCCCAAGCCTGGCTGCAGCCCAGAACCACCGGGTGCATTCACTCCCTAAGGTTCTAGATATGTATAGGATGACCTGGAAATGTCCCCAGGTACTGTTGGCCAAGGCAGTTTCCACTGAGAAAGTCAGCCTTCCTAACTGCAAGCTGAGCCCAGTGTGACAGCATGTGAGCCCTAGAGCAAGGGATAGTAGAACAATGGTGCCAAGCAGAGCTTTTTATCCAGGTGGGAGCAGACCCACGGGGAGAGAATGGAATGTGAGAAAAAGATTTCCAGGTTACTAGTAAGGCTGCGGAGGGTGGGGATGGGTGCTGGCCTCATATTTGAGACTTGGCTTTTACTCTGGTGGCCTGTCCCAGGAAAAGCTCACGGCTCTGTTCTCCAGGGGAAACAGAGAGGTCTAGTTGTCTTTGTTCAGTCACCAAAAGGAGAAAAAGAAGGACCTCTATGGCCCAATCAGGCTTCCCCACCTCAGTTGAGGAGAATTGTAAGATAGAAGAACATGTGCTTGTGGGGTCCTGGGGAGCGTGCACCTGTCCCATGGATCTGGTCTGGCATGGGCACTGGGCTACCAGATTGTTCCAGATCTTCGCACCCTTTGATGGGAGCAGTCACATGGCCCAAGAGCACAGGGCTGCTATCTAAGGGAGCCTGGAAGAACAGGGGATTGACTGTGCCTCTCACCTTCTGTTTCAGTGGCATCCCAGAGACTGTGTCTCTATATACTGTCAACAGATAGTACTCAGGGCTGCAGTATTCCAATGGTTTCATGCTGAAGCCAACATAGCTGGTAAGTTGGGACTGGATGGTGCCGTTGGCCAGGGCCTGGGCTTAGTCTTGCCCCTGAGGGTTAGGATCAGTGATGTTGCTGTCTCCTGAGCCAGTAGTAAACATCTGAGAGGACTCTGAGCATAGAAAGAGTGCAGGAGCTGCCCTTGCCACTGCCCCACAGCTCCAGGACACCCCTGGGTATTTGTCTCTGGAGCTGGGCTGTGTGGTACCTAGAGAGAGAACAGGTGGGACAGGGGCTCTGCTGCTCCCAGGACAAACAGACCTTGGTCAAGGATGGTTATGAAATACTTGTGTTGCAGGTGGCATCAGAATTGGGTCTTATGACATTGGTATGGCCTGTGGGTAAGAATTTCTTTCTGCCAGAGCTCCTTAACCAATGCTGACAATCAAACTACTTTCCCTCTGCTCAGTTCTCAGAGGCCATGATTTGAGGATCATTCCCTGGTTCCTATAGGTAGCTGGCTTGGTGTAGGTCCCGCTTGATGCAGCCTAGGAGTGGTCCCTACATCTGGCTACTCAGGAAAAAACCCTACCTGAGCACTTGCAGGTGAGGACAGATAGCCTCTAAGGTTCTTCTCACATTTTTTTTTTCCTGCTTTGGATAGTGAATGCCAGACTAGGGAGCTACATTCTAGATCTTTTTTGTTTTTGAGGGAAGATCTTGCTAAGTTCCCCTCACTGATCTGAAACTTGCAAACCTCATCCTTCAGTCTCTTTGGTGGCTGAATTACAGATATGTGCCATCGCACCTGGCTCTCTTGAAAACTTTTCAGGCTTGAAAAAGTCTCTGTTCTTCGGAAAAATAAAGCTGAGGAGGCTTTGGCTGCCTCAGGAGGTGAGTCGCACTGGTTCTGACCTTTTGGGCTGCCTTGGGATCCTCTCTGGATGTTTCTGGACAGGAAGCATCACTGGCCCTTGACCAGGGCTGAGATGACCTCCACTTGGTTGCCTGGCCTGTGTCTTAGTTGGAAGAGATCCAAAGTCCACAAACAGGGACTCTGGCAGGGCGAAGGTCACTGCATCCCCTTCCATTTAGTGTCTCTCACCTTCCCTGGTCTCACTGTGCAACAGATGCGAGTGACGTAAGAAGCATGACTGGAGCCTCGTAGGTTCCTCTGGAGCCATTTGGTTACCAAGCAGGTTAAGAACTGTGATTCTGAGAAATCTTGGATCTTAGTGTCTGTGGGGAAGGGACAATACCACTGGCACTGGCACATGCTGACTATTGCCAAGAGTTGGAGGGTGAAGTATTGTTCAGGCCATTCTAGCTGGGAACAAGCTCTTGGGCCAGAATGCCTTAATTAGAGTCCAGAATGGGTGACCGTGACAAATTACCCACCATTCAGGACCTCAGAATTCTCCTCTATAAAAGGGGATGCCTACTCAGTTCTACCAAGGTTTTTAAGAGAATTAAATGGAATGATGGAACACTATGTGGCTCACACTGTAGCACTACTAACACATGAAAATAATTCAAATTAGCATTTTAGGCATGGGAACACTATCAGGGCCACCAGTTGTCATTCTATAGGCCATATGCCTCCTCAACTCACAGTCCATTTTGAGGACAGTATAGCTGTCTACACTTGCCACTGTGCTTTCCTGTCAATGCCATCACACCTCCTTTTCTGTGCAGCTCAGGTCCCTCTTGGATGTGATTATTGTATTGACTTCAAACACATTTGCAGTCCACATCTGGTGGACTCTGAGGGCAGGCAAGGGCTGAAAGGATGTGATCCCCACACTGCAGCCCTCACTAGAAGCCTTTCTGTGAGAACTAACAATTCACTGGTTGAGCAGAATTATATAGAACATCATCCTGCCCCTGGGAGTGTGGAGAGTGCAGTGATCAGAACAGACCCAGCTGAGGGAAGAGGATGGCACAGGCTGAGGAGCAGATCAGCGGGGCAGGGACATGGACCCGGAGGTTATGAACAGTTCCTGGGATGGAAGAGCCCCCTCCAGGGCAATGGTCTTGGCCTAGGCCCTGCATTATAATTCCCAGAGCTAACACAAAGGATAGGCCATACTACCATGAAGACTATAGCAGTTTAGACTCACTACTCAGATGGAACACACAGAAGTCCAACAAGGAAAACAAACACCCTTGGAAAAATCCACAGCCACCAAGATGAGAACACATGTTTATTATGTCCATTTTACCCTCATTCATAGGGCCACAGTTCCCTCGGAATTACATGGGGGCTTTGTGGGCTAGGTGACCCACACTGGCCCAGCTAGAGGGGGCCTGGTGGTAAGGCCCGACATCCCGCCCACTCATGTAGTGTGTCATCAGTGTTCACAGTTTCCAAATTAGTTAAAGTGCCTTGATTTGTCCCCATCACCACCACCAGTGCTGAATGTCCCACGTGGATTCGCTTCCTCAGAGTCATTTTCTGGCTGCCAGAGCAGGGCCTTCTGGGTAGTACCTTGAGCCAAGGACTCAGTTCCCAGGGTATTCGAAGACAGCAGCAGCTCCCATCCCAGTGCCAACGCACATGGACACCACTCCATATGCCCTGAGAAAGGGAACTAGGTTGGCCGGGCACAGGCACTCTGGGCAGAGGCCCAGTCCCCTGACCAGAGGCCCAACTCCCTGACCAAGGCCCTCCTAAACAGAGGATGCAAAACCAGAAGACCAGATCTGTGGGAAATCTGTCCCCTGACTGCCCACCTAGGCACACACTCAGTGGCAGATGCCCTCTGTAGGCCAGAGGCCCTTTTGAGGCTGACCCTCAGGGACAACAGGGATCATGTCCCTATATGCCCAGTTCAAAGTGCATGTTGAACTCCCAAACCCCCACCCTTTGATGCCGCAGCTCAGCATCCCCCATGACACCCCACATCACCCCAAGGGGAACAGCCTCACCTCTTCCCACGGCGCTTCAGCTCATTCAGCAGCGTGATGACCTGTCGTGCCCCAGTGCAGCACAGGGGGTGGCCCAGGGCCACGGCTTCTCCCAGAGGGTTCACCTTCTCAGGGGGGATTCCTAGCTTCTCCACACAGTAGACAGCCTGGAAAGGAGCCAGAGCAGCACCTGGGCATGCTGGCCCCCTCCCCTGCATGGCTTGTCTACTGGCTCCCACTGGGTGCCCAGGGCCCAGGCAATGGGGAGACAAAGACTCACCTGGCTTGCAAAGGCCTCATTGATCTCAAAGATGTCCACGTCATTCACTGTCAGTCCTGCAGGTGAGGTTCAGACCTGAGATGATAGAGGCCCCCAAGCACAAATCTGGGTCTCCCCAGACCTCCAGCCATGCACAGACCCACAATGCCTAGTAGTATGTCTGACAAGTGAATGGGTCTCAGCTGTGGGTCATGAAGGCCTTGGGTATGGAGTGCTAGCCTGCCTAACCTCCACTCTGCAGTACCTACAGGGACATCCTAGTAGTCACCCCCAGCCCCAGCAGCAGGGCATGAGGGGACCCAGGTCTAGGGTCTGAAGGAGCCACCTGACCTGCTTTCTCCAAGGCTACAGGGATGGCATATGCAGGTCCAATGCCCATGACATCAGGTGGGACTCCAACCACTGCATAGGACCTCAGGACCCCGAGGATGGGAAGGCCCAACTCTTCTGCCTTGGACCTCCGGGCCAGCAGGACTGCAGCTGCCCCATCGCTCACCTGGCTAGAATTTCCTAGGGAGGAAGTATTGGGGTAAGGAGGTATCAGGGCAGAGCAGAGGAGAACCAGTTCTCCCACGGGCCCCTTCCAAGGGATCTGGTCTGCCCCAGACTCCATAGCATAAGAGCCAGCCTGATGACAGTCCCTGGTGGCAGCCCTACTCCAACACCCTGGCCCGTACTCACCAGCCGTGGTAGACCCGCCATCTTTGAAAGCAGGCTTCAGTTTGGCCAGGCCCTCCATGGTGGTGTTGGGGCGGATTCCCTCATCCTGGGACACAGTGATGCTCCTCTTGGTGCCCTTGCCATCGTGGATGGTGGTGGTCACAGGCACAATCTCAGCGCGGAAACAGCCCCTGCTCTGGGCTCTTGCTGCCCTGCCAGCAGCAGACAGCCAGGCTCAGGCTCCCTTGGAGCTCCCTTCCTCCTGTCCCCACTCTGGCCCATTGTGGCAGACATGCAACCTCAGCCTGCTAAATTCAGAGACATGTCTGGTCCTAGGGGACATCAGAGGGATCAGCTGGAGATCCTGAGGAAACCCTGTTGTTGGGAGGGGGAGGCTTGTCTAGGGCCATCCAGAGCATCATTTGCTATCAACTCCAGATGTCCACATCATGGCCCATTTCAAACTCAAGGGGGGAGAAAGGAGCTTGCGGGTGGTGTTTACTTCTTAAAGCCCTTCATCCAAGAGCTGTCAGTTTCTTCTGCTCCACTGAGGCTGGAGTCCTAGGAACATTTGTGATGACTTCTGCCAGCTTTCCTGGGTACCCCACATCTGAATTTCCTCCGTTTCCCAGGTTCCTCAAATCTGAAGTGAAATATCCTAAACTCCTTGATGTCTTTTCCAATTCAAACAGAGTTGAACCCCAAGGCATTTTAGAGTTACCTTTACAACTTTATGCAAACTATAACACTTAGGGGCATTTCAATGGGAGGAACCCAGAGCTTCCTGCAAAGCCCAAATGCCCACCTGACCCAAGAGGCTAACAGTCCCTGCCTTGGAGAAGCCCACCTGACTTTGCTGTCTTTCCTCAGCTTGGTCAGGGTTGGCCAAACCTGTCTGCTGATGCTGAGGCTGAGCCTCAGGTTTTCTGCCCTAGGCTCAGGATGTTTGCCCTGACACAGGCCTGCTCCAGAAACTAGATTGGCTGGTCCAGAGCATTGTTGACCCCATACTCTAGGTCCCCAGGAAGCCTCTGGCTGCCCCATTCAGTTCCTGAGCAGCAGCTAGACATGATCTGGTCCTCATTATGCCCCAAAGAACAGAGGGTAAACTGAAGCCTAGGTAGGGAGAAGGTACTCAGCATGGACAGTCAGCAGGGGAACAGGGAAGAGCCACCAGCTCAGAATGGCACTGCCCCCTTTCCGATCCCCAGCTGGGAGGCAGGAGGTTTGTAAACCCCTAGTACATAGCTGTACTCTTGGGACACATCCACCTCAGACCTCAGACCACCCAGGATGGCCTCACAACCTCACCGTCCAGTCCTTTCAAGGTTCCACCCCAAGCAGCACTCACTTCTGCTGGGAGGCCAGCGCAAAGGTATCCTGCTTCTCTCGTGAAATGCCAAACTTCTCAGCCACGTTCTCTGAGGTTATCCTAGGACAAAAGTAGTACCCAGCTGGGCATAAGGCTGGCAGCATGGGGACCAGGGCCATTCATGCCACAGAGACAGTACTGGGGAATCAGGCAGTGGCACTCCACCCCCAGCATTGGAATGGGGCAGACAGGGAGTCGCCAATGCTGGCCAGATGCTCAGAGTTCATACACCAAAGACACCCCCTCACAAAAGAGGGAGGGCAGCCTGCATTGGCAGCAGAGCAGAAGAGAGTGTGTTCTCTGGGTGAGCTGCCTCAGCACAGAGGAGAGGGGAAGGAAGGTTTATCGGGGGGACCTACTTATGAATGAACACCTCAGAGGGGGCATGACAGAGCAGGCTACGTTTAGAAACTCAGGCTCAGAGAAGACTTGAGGACCTCAGAAACAGGAAGTACTGAGTGTCATGCTGAGTCTCTGAAGAACAGATGCTACACACAGGAAGCAGGCCAAGCCTTAGCATTGGCAGGCACAGATGAGAAAGTTCCCCAGCCCTGGCTCCTGGAGAGACAGAGCTGAGGGGGCACAGGCACTCACCCCATGGGGATCAAGCAGTCTCTGGCCTTCTCATTCTCCAGCAAGCGTGAAGTGATATTTCCAGGGTTTCCTCTGTTAGCCAGGGACATGGACTCCACTCTGAGGAGGGGGAGGAGAAGGAGGGAGTTGAGTCCTAACAGGAACACATCCAACGATAGGGGACATGTGGCAAGTGTTGGGAAACAGCCAGGGAGCCCTCGGGAACTGCAGTGCCCTGTCCGGGAGGCACAGACAAGCGAGGCAGAGCTGGGGCTGGGGGGCTGCTGAGCCTCGTCTCTATCTCCACCCCAGGACAGTGTACACTGCACAGTCTGCACTCCTGGGTGCAGGGGCATGCTTCCGTATACATCTGCTGAACCAGCCAATTAGAAGTTCCTGAGGAAAGCTTTCTAGTATATACCACATTGCTACAAACATATCCAACATGTCCAGGCCCTGTCCCCGCCAGGGTCCACAAATTCAGAGGGAAGAAGACCCAAAAAGCTCATATCAAAGAGCAACCTGACCTGCACAGACAAGGAGGTGCAATGTTCTGAGAGGAAAGTGAGGTGGCTAGTATAGAAGGATCAAGAAGGACTGGGGAAGGGGAAACCCTAAAAAATGGTAACAGATGACCTTGACTAGTGCTTTGTGTTCCCAGCATTACTTTGAACTCTTTTCAGGCTTCAAATAGTACCCACCCCATGATATGTACCCTATAGTGTTAGCTTGATTATGGTTCCACTTTCTTCATCCTCCTTCTCCTTTTCTTCCTCCTCCCCCCTCCCCCTTCCTCTCCTCTCCCCCTCCCCCCTCCTTCTTTTTTTTTTTTTTT